AGCAGCAGCACTAACAAGCCTTCCTTTTCCTTTTATCCTCTCCAGGCTGCAGCACAGTGGTTGGTGTCACCCACATACATTATATACACACAGAACTATGCTAGACCAATCACCAGACTAATTTAGTTATCACACAACCTAGATCCAGACACCTCTGAAAAGCCCCACCTATGAGCGCATGAGGCTTTTGTGGGATATCTAGATGGAAGCCATAACACCCGTGCTATATTTACTGGGTTCTCAGTGAAGAGCCTCAAGCCTGGACCCATTAAATGTACCTAGAGTCTGCTTTTACTGAGGTATGCTTGAATCCTAGGGCCACAGACCTAGTGGTAAAATTGATGGCAGCAGGCAGGCTGGTTGGAGTCTGGAGTTAGTGGAGACTGGTCTGGAGTCTGCATTTCTTGGTGCTAGCCTGACACTGTGACTAGACTGAAGGCTGGGTCTATAGGTGCTGGTCTGGAGTCTGATGCCATGGGGCCTTTCCTGGTGCTGCAGCTACTCTGGAGCTTGGGGTGGGTCTGGAGCCTGAACCAGAAACCCTGTTCTGGAACCTGGGGCCTCTGAGGATTGGCCTGATGTTAAGGTATGCCTAAAACTTGGGCCTACAGGGACCAGCCTGAGGGTGGGGTGGGATTTGTGATTAGGTCTTTGAGTGTTAGCCTGGAGTCTAGGGATATGGAGGCCCACTTGGTGCAGAGTGGGCTTGAAATCCAGGACCATGGAGGCTAGCCTGATACCTAGGGCCACAGGAATGAGTCTGTAGTCCTAGGGTGCAGGTACCAGCTAGGAGCCATGGGGTTGGCTTAGTGCTCATTTTACTTCACCAGGGTTTCTGGTGCTCATTTCACTCTCTTTCTTTCACATGGAGGGTATCTCACCCCACAACATGCTTCCTGGACTTAGCAAAGAGGTGATGTGGGTAATGTGAAACTTTCTTTCTTACTCTTCCCATATTATCTTATTTCTGTGTTATACTAAGTGCAGTAGTCTCTTCCCTATGCCTGTAATCCTGTGTGACTATAATTTTGTGTATAAAATTATAAAGATTGAATGTGGCTGGGTGTAGTGGTATAGGCCTGCAATTATTGCTGCTTGGGTGTTGGGGCAGGAGGATCACTGAAATTATGTTGAACTTGGACCATTTAATGAGACTTTAACCTCAAAATAAAAAAATAATTAAAGTATGGGCTTTGCATGGAGCTCAGTGGGATAGTACCCCTGGGTTTGATTCCCAGTAGTGAAAAAAAGAGATTGAGACATGAGGATATGAGTGCTAAATCACGAAGTTACTTTGAAGTAGTATTACCAACAAATACATATGTAGAAGAGTCAAGATTGTAGGGCCTTTTAGTTGGTATGTGACAAGCTTCTGGGCCTATACTTGCTGAAGTAGTATGTAAGGAAGACACAGAGGTTTGGCTACTTGCCTCTGTCAGAAGTAAAGTCTTTCAGAGGATGAGTCAAGTATCAATAACAAACAAAAACGAATGAATGACAAGTAAGTAGACTAATATATTAAGGCTTGACTGAGGCCAGGAAAATCAGTTGAGGAGAGGGTGTTTTAGCCTACTCTGTCTGCTAAAGGAAAATACCATCAACTGAGTGGCATATAAACAATCTAAATATATCTCTCGGGGTTGGGGATATAGCTCTGTGGCACAAGTGCCTGTCTGGCAAATGCAAGATCCTGAGTTCAATTCCCAGTACCTAAATATATCTCTCAAAGTTCTGTACACTGAAAATCAAGATAAAAGCAGATTCAGTACCAGTTGAATTCCCATTTCCTGGATAACTACCTTTTTGTCATGTCCTCAGGTAATAGCGGGGACAATGTATTTTTGTGGTTTATATGAATTTTCTTATAAAGACACTAATTGCATTCATGACATTTCTGCTTTCATGCCTTAATCACCTCTTAAAGGCTTACCTCCAAAAACCCTCCCATTGTGAGTTATTTCAACATATCACTTCTTGGAGGACATGAATACTGAGATCATAGCAGAGGGACAAAATTTAATAGCTAGAGTTATCAAAATCTTGGTTAATAATGAAAACAATCATAGGTTAGAGGAAGGATCCAGGAAAAGAGAGGTTGTAAATATGAAATAAAAAGAAAGTAGAGCAGATGGAACCCAGATGGAGAGATTAGTCTCGGATAGGAAGAAACTCTATTGTAAGAGACAAAGTTGAGCTTGAATGTGGAGAGGTCAGAAATTGCTGAGTTCAAGGCTCTTGGTCTTTTATGTTCTCAGTGAAACTGGAAATGGAGTCATTTGTTAGAAGTTTGAGAGTTGTGTTTGGTGCTTGGCTAAGAATGAATTTAAAACATTTTGGGAAAGTGGATGGAAAGATGATCAGTGATGACAGAAAAGACTAATGAACTATGCTGAAACTCAACTGATGTTTGAAAAAATTGAAAAAATTCTCAGAGCCAGGAGTGACTTTCTTATACTCCAACTTTCTAATTCAGAAGACCAAACCTATATATTCCACTTAATCCAAAATCTATAGCCAAGCTTATCTATACATATTGCAAACTAATGAAAAGGCACCAAAAGCTGAACCTTTATTAAGGGACATCCTTAGAGATACTGGAGTTCAAAGCAGCTACCCCACAGGTCTCAGCATCCCTTGGCATTTCAGTTTCTGCTCTCCTTTTTTCAATCTCCAGAGAGGCTCTAAGGGCCCAATCTGACTGAAGAAGCATGAATCTCCTGAAAGAATTCACTCTGCTCATTTCACCTTAGAACTACAAGCTATTCAGGCTTCTTGGGGACCCAGATGAGATCACTATTACCCTGAGTGATCTTAGATAACCTTTGAGAAGAACTGAAGATTCACAACAGGGAACCCCATTTGGACCCAGGAGGAGCTCTCTAGGCCTAGAAATAAGAAAGAGAGGTTGTGCCTGTCTATTCTGCTGTCCTGTTAGGCTGGTTCCAACAATGAATTCTAGTCAAAGAAACTCTTCTTTTGGCATTATGCTGTTTGAGTCCATGAAGAAAACTCGTAAAAAAGGGGTTGAGGGATTTACCTCAAGAAATGAGCTGACCCAACCTCAATTCTGATGTCATAGGAGGACTGCATGGCTCCTTCATAGAGAACAAAGCTGACAGCCTTAACCATACTCACTGCTATACTGTATCTCAGCTACTAGATGAGAATTTGTACTTTAAGAGCATGATACTCCTTGTATAGTTAAACTGTGAAATGCACTGCTTTAGAGTTTAAGAACATCTAGTCCAACAACCTCTTCATGTTACAACTGCAGAAGAAAGTCTAAGATAAGAAGATTTGTTTGATTTTACACATAAAGTTAGTTTTACCAAGACTCCCAAGTCCCAAATCAGTATTCTTTCTACTACATGAGGCTTGGGAGTAGTGTCTAGTGTCTCAAGACTGTCTGTAACCCAATTGATCTGGATTACATAAAATGGAGGAAAAGCTGGTGGCCTTTCCTTTGGGAAAGTGTCCCTCCTCTGAGATAAAACATGAGGCCCTTTCTTTTGGTCTCTCCTCTGCAACCTCACAGCAGAATTAAGAAGTACACAGGGTAGTTCTCTTCATTTTCATCTCACAGATGCTGCCAGAGAACAATAACGTATATAGGTGTATGTATGTATGTATGTATTTATATCTAACCTACACCTGTATGCCTTTTCTATGTTCCAGCCATTGTTCTAATTGTCTTATTCATATTGACTCTGTTTTGGGCATAGCTCTTGCAATCCTCAACAGAAATAGAGTTAATTCAGGACCTCTGCAAAGTCACCTCAGTGCCTGTTCAGCTCTTTTCACCCCAAAGACTTTTCACCCCCTGTGCTGAGACCCTACTCTGAACTCCTGGTGTATAACCTCTACCCAGGTCAGGAGTGGACCCTCAGTCTACCTATGGCACATTGCTTGATTCCTTCTTCTATATCTTGGCTCAAGCATCCTTTCTCTTTATCATTTAAAGTGCTATTTGTTCCTCCGCCTTTTTTGCGCCTTCCCAATCCACTGAATAGGGTATGTCTTCCCTGGCCATATACTCTTTCATTTCCAGTCCTTCTTTCTGCCCCCTACTCTCTTCCAGCCTGTACCCCATAGTTTGGCCTTCCATTTTATACTGTGTGCTGTTTCCTGTGTCCTCTCTGTCTTATCTCTGCCAGTTCTTCAAGGTCAAGCACAGCATTCCAGGACTTCCCCCACTGCCTATGAGATCATAGACATAAACTCCCAAGTGTTGTCCCCAGCAGGGCCCCGAGAGAATGTGTAATTTCCTTGTACACAGAAAAACCCAGGGTCACACAGAAGGTGAGAGCTTGCTTAAAGTTCAATCCAGGTCCAGAGTCCAGTTTCCCTTCATTTTTAGTGGTATTTCCCTAGCTTCACATCTCCTCTCTTCCTCTTGTCAAAATCCTACCTACTTTTCTGCAGACATGACGATTTTTTTAAAAAAGCAGAGGGCCGGGAATATAGCTCAGCGGCACAGCACCTGCCTGAAAAGCACAAGGTCCTGAGTTCAATTCTTGGTACAAAAAAAAAAAAATTAAAACTTAAGAAATAAAAAATTAAAAAGCAGAAAGAAGGAAAAGGCAGAAGAGGAGGAAAGAGGGGAGGAACAAAAGTCCAGGACCTTGAAGTGTTTCTTTTTCATTCCAAGTGTCTGAAAATCCTTATTTTTCCAACAATAATTTTTCCTGTCAAACTCCAGGTCTGCTAACTCATGCACAGAACTTAGAAGAGTTAAGCTGCACTCAGCTGCTTCCAAGCACTTGACACTCCCTGCCTCCTTTTCCATAGACTGGGCTGAGCCTAACTGCCTGGCTCACTGCCCTTTGGCCCTCACTTCAGTTCCCAGGCGCTTTGCAACTCCTGCTGCTCTCGTGGTTTGATCACTGTTTACCCCGAGACTCGCAGCGTCCCTCTCCAGGGTACTTCTTTGCATAGCCACGCCTAGCCATACCAAGTAGTCCAATAGCTGTCCTGGGAGCCTCAAGGGAAAGGGGAAGTAGGGGTAGCACAAAAGGGATTGAGAGTGGATGGATTTGATCCGTTGTTGCAACACATGTACGTGAAATGAGTGGAGCGAAGCTTTGATTGCAACGAATTTCTTCTACTGTGAGTGCGCTGTTTAAGGTTCGGGGTGGGGGATGGTGGCTGGGGCAGCATGTCTGGGCTGCGCTGAAGTGTGTGTTTCTCCCCGCCTCCCAGGAGTTATGTTGTAGTAAGATCCATCTATCCATTCATTACGGGATAACTGTGGGAGCACTGCTGGTGTGGTGAGGTGGCTGGGAACAGTGAAAGTAACCAGGTCAGGGTGTCCCTGCCAGGATGCTGCAAAGTCAGAATGGCTGGGAACGTGGCAGTTGGTCAGTCCACCCAATTTTGTCTGGCGGCTCTGAGGTGCCAAGCTGATATCCTTGGAACGTTGGTGAGACAGTTCTCCTCTGTGTAGGCACTTAGTGGACCTGGGCAGCTGCTGGGAGCATGCCTGGACTTGTTGAACTGCCTTGAGCATCTGGGGATGGGAGATACAGAGAAGAAAGAGGCTGCGAATTAGCTGAGGAAGGGAGGGGGGATCAGACTAGTGGAACATTCAGGAGGGAAGCTGAGCTGCTGGCTCACTCAAGTGTTCCCCAGGCAAGTCAGGGCATGTGTAAAGAGCACGCAGGCTCTGTATGGGGGCTTTCAGTCCAGCCCGCCCTCCCCAGCTGAATTATACTTGATCCCTCAGTCCTGCAAGCTGAGCCCAGGGCAGTGATATTTTGATCCTGTCCCACCCCACATACTGGCCAGTGCCCAGGCAGCTCCAAGAACTGGGGGGACAAGAAGAGACCCGCCAGAGGCCAGGCTGGGAAAACAGATTTCAAGGTCTGATTTAGACAGGTGTTGGCAGCACTGGCTAATGTCATACAGGATGGGGGGAGAAGAAAGTGTGGAGCATCTTCCCTAGATAACTGTCTTGTGTCCTCCCTTACCCCATCATACCTTTTATTCAACTTAACAGACTTACTTAGCACCTAGTTTGTGCCAGGAAGTGTGAGATAGTGAGATGCCTAAGATACAGGTTGTGATCACTGGGGCCCAAACAGCTTCATCATGGGTATAAAAAGACAAACATAACAGAAGATAGGTTTTAAAGGTGAAAAGTACTCTGAGGTTGTCAAGTAAGAATCATATCAGGTCGAACCAGAGAAAATCAGAAAACTATTTTTGAGTATTTGTTATTCAAAATTGTAACCCTTCTCTAGGATCCAGAGCCAGGCTATTTGACTCCAGATCCAATTCCCAACATTTTTTTGTGTGACTTTGGACAAATAGAAACACTTTCTCCCCTTCGAGTTAACTCTAAGGAAAGAGGAGCTAATAAGATTGCTGGGGGAATTGAATAAGATGACCCATGTAAAATACTTACATACACTCAGCATAGTGATTGGCCCAAAACAAGAACCCAATAATTATTAACTATTTCATTTAAGGTGGATCATGGAGAACAGGATTTCAATATGTGGTGAAATGAGAGAAAGTGGTTTAAGTAGAGAAAACAACAAGAACTGCAGGAAGGCAGTGAAGCTCAGAGAATGTGAAGAGAGCATCAGCTGAGCCAGATTTTAGAGTACAGTTGGAGAAAATGAAAGTTAAAATTGTTAGATTGGTGGTAACCACAGAAGGCTTTGGATGCTTGAGTTTTGATGTGATATGGAGTTTCTAAGATACACAGTCAGATCTACACTTTAGGAAGAATAATCTAGTAGACATGAGTTAGATGATTTGGAATAGGAAACCACAAGAGGTGGACAAAGTAGATACAGAGAGAATATAGGATTCTGTATCTGAAGTGGTGGCTGTGGGAATAGAAAGCAGCACATTTAAGACAGCACAAAAGAATCTTCAGAAATTTGAAGATGAAAAATTATATGGGATTAAAGGAGGAAAGAGATATCCACAATCTTTCGGGGTTGGCTTAGACCTTGAGAAGCTGGATATTCCCATCCCACCTCTGTGGATGATGCATTAGAAAGGAGATCAAACTTCTGACTTGGACACAGAAATATTTAATTCCTGGGTCTTCTATTTACCTGCCCCTTGGGGTCCTAAGCACATTATATAACTTATAGTTCCATCCAGAATCAATATTTCCATAGGATATTTAGAAATATTGGGAGTGGTATTTTTTACACAAACTGTAAGGTAACAGTCAGTTCTAAGTAGCTTAATACAATTAAGAATTGTCTCTCCCACCTTCCTATATCAGTAGTAAGTCAATTGAGAAAAATTGAATTACTTTAAGTGTCCATTTTCCTGAAAAAAAGAGAAAGAATACTATGAATATCCTAGACCAGAGTGCTTCTGGGAAGATTAAAAATATAATCCTTGTGAATTATCTAGTATAATGCTTGACAAATAGTAGGTTTCACAAATCCTAATTTCCATTTACTCCAATTGACTCCACCTTAAAACAGCCTTGATAGTCTCTGCCTAAACTTTTCCAGAGGGAACTCTTTATTTTTCTCTTTAAAAGTCCATTATTGGGGCTGGGAATATAGCTCAGTGGTACAAGCACCTGCCTAGCAAGGGTAAGGTCCTGAGCTCGATTTCCAGTACAAAAAAAAATCATTCCTAAAAGTCTATTATCATCTTGAAGAGCTTGAATGGTTAACAAGTTCTTCCCTTTGTTACAATGAACATAACTTCCCTATGAATCCTTGCACCTGGATGTTCTACTTATTCTCCCTAAGGCCACCTGGTGTATTCTACTCTTTCTTTTCTAAGGTACTTGTCAAAGACATAAAGAGCAGAGACAAGATTTACAATATTTTTAATTTCTCAGGTTGAACAGCTCAGTTACTTCCATTTCTCATAGGCAATGGTGTGAAGTCAAGCACGAATCTGAGGTTTTGAACTATATAAATTGGTGTAGTAATACCTTCATTATGATGGAGAACACTGCAAAAAAAGAACATGGTGGGTGAACCTGACCAAATTCTTTATAATGTATTTATTTCTTTCCACTCCATAATCCTACTGACTCTTCAGCCCAATTAGGAAAGGCCCAGAGACATTGAAACTTGACAGAGATTGTTTAGATAATATGTACATGAGCGAAACCTGAAAGCCACATTTTTCTTCAAGTTCAGTTTGTTTTTCTAATTTTCACAGCTGTTTGGGTTTAAAGCAATGGTTAGGCAATAGGCATTTTGGCACTAGGAAAGTAGATAATTACCTCCATTTACCTTATACCAGTCATTCCTTCTTTGAAAGTTTTGATTAATACAGACAATTAGGGGATCAAAACCCTAATCCCAAGGGAAAAGCAAATTATAATTTTGTCTAAGAAACTATGACAGGCCACTCAGCCCTCCTTTGGTTATCTTCTTGATCTGCTCCCCTTTGAATGCCTTCTCCAGAGATGGTGCATCTTTTGGAGTCTCCTCCAAGCTAAAGCTTGATTTTGAAGCAAAAGCTGTTTTTTTTTCTGCTGTCTTCCTTAAGTCTAGCTCTGTCGATGTTTTCTCCCTTTTGGAGCTTAACAGAAGGATATAGGTCAGTTTTCCCATCAGTCTGTAATAGGGAAGGACCATTATTTTGTGTTTATGGGAGATATGATGGCTATAGACTTTCTTAGAGTTAACTGAATATATTCTCTGTGTTCCCTACAAGTTATGATCTCCTATAGGTTGATAATATGCTATATTCACTATGATTTTTCCCTCCTTTTACTATGTTCTAACAGAATGCCTAGCATAAAAGGCACTTGTCAGGTGATTGTTGAGTGACTAGAAATACATTCTGGATTGATTATAATTATTATGCCCCCAGGTATGCCCAAATGATATGTTCTAAAAATAAATAAGGAAATTTCCAAGTAATATGTGGTGGAATCACACACTAATATGTTACTACTTCCAGGCAGAGGTTAGTTGTATTTAGGGGTTTACAAGGAAATAATACAACACAGAACACATAATTTATAGAAATATTTTATAATAGTCACCCAAAGAGTCATATACAAAGAGAGCATAGGAAACCTGTCCACACACTAAAGACCAAAAGTATCTAGCTGAGGGCCTGGATCCCATGTCAGTGTCCTGCATGAGTCCAGCTGAAGACCTAGAGCCCATAACAATCCCTCCCATGAGTCTAACTGGAGGCCTAGAGCCCATAACAATGTCTCCTGCAGGCCTGTCTCAAGGATCTGCACTGGGAAGGCCCAAAGATCAGTGGTGGATGCTAGAAAGTCTGTGCCAGCATGATAAATGATCTGTGCCAGCAGGCTGAAGAATCTAAACTGGAGCCAGGAAGCAACATTCAAAGTAAAGACCAGAGCTCCCCTAAAAAGTACCACAGCCATCCTCAGCAACAGTGAAGTCCCGAGCTCCTTTGATGATGATAACAGCCGAGTCTCTATCAGGATGGCCAGTATGACAAGCTTCTCCAGGAGACTGAACAGCACACCATATTTCCCTCCCGAGCCGGGAAACAATGCTTAAAGTAAGGACTAGAGCTCTCCGAAAGTGAACCATAGCCATTCTCAGTGACAGGAAGGTCCTGAGCTCCTCTGATGATAACAGCCGAATTTATCAGGAAAGCCAGCATGACAAGCTCCTCCAAGAGAACCAACAACTCCTAACAGCTCCTTAAATTCTTCCTCTCCAGTTCTGCCTCTTATGCGTCCAGCAACAATCCTCAGATGGGCCTCCCACACCCAGAACCATATTGGTTCGTTTCATCTGGGTGTTACAAGTTGACCACCAGTTGTCAGTCCACCACAAGGGATAAGCTGAAAACAGTGAGCAGTGTTACTTCCTTTCCATGCACCACTGCTCCCTGACCCAGTGTGCCCTTTTGAATTGTTTCTGTGGAAAATTTTAAAATGCCAATACTCAGAAGACTAAGGATAAAAGTTGGAACTTTGCTAGCACAGTCACTGAGTAATTGGTTCTGAAGCTGGGCTCACTCCTCTCTTCATATAAAGGAACTAGATAAGCTATTGGTCCCTAAATATGGAGGCTTGAATTCTAGTCACATCTCTGCCACTAACCAACTATTTGACTTTGAGAAAATTCTATTCCTTCTCTCAGCCTTTGTTTCCCCAGGTGGGTGGTAAAGCAATGAAA